CCGAGAAAGGGCAAAGCAGCACAGGCCCGAGCGGAACAAAGCCCACCTAACGGGGCACACATGAAATGCTAACAACGAGAGGCAGTATAAAAACGAGTTCAATCCAACTAACTTGTAAATTAAGAAATGATGCTTACACTGCTAGACCTGACAAGTTCTGTGCCTCTGCAGAAGCTAGGACACAAAATACACTAGTTAACAAATAACTAAATCACAACTTGAGATCAGCGTGTTTACATCAGGCAAACCAAATAGCAAGATAGCTTCTCCCACAAGAAGAATCTTAAATATTGGTGAGGAAAACAAAGACCAGGAAAGGAAGTAATAGCATAGATTTGCCAAGGATCAGGCAATTTGGAACAAAAGCAAAAATTCCCTGTTATCCCTGGTCTGTCAGGGAAATGCCATAAAGGTAATTTTAAAAGGTTCTGTCATCCTTTTGTTTTTAATGCTAGTATTCTCCCCTCCCCCCTTTTAGGTATGGTCCCACTTTTTAAACATTACATTTTTAAATGACACAGAAAAAAAACCCCTCCTCTGTCAATTGATTCTTTATCCCAGAAGTACCAATTTCATATTGCTCAGGAGAATAAAGTGACACTCCAAACTTTACACTGTTTAAATGTTATTTTATTAAATATCTTCAGTTCAAGGTTTCATTGTAACAAAGCTATGAAGGTTCTACCAACATTCAGACCAAACAAACAAACACTAGCTAACTTTAATTATTTCTATATCATGCAAAAATTCTGCATCAAATGCCTTCCATTTCCTGTTTAAAATGTGATATTTATAATATATATTATATAGATGCTTACATTAGCCCCATAAGAGAACATTAAGAATGCTAAAGGTGTACAGCTGTGTTTGATAATGGCCATACCAAGCTAAGGTTCTCATTAACTTAAAAGGAAACAAAACAAAAAAAAATCCAAAAGAGTTTGTCTCCAAGACTGTGCAAAAACAAAAAAACCCAACAGTTCTCTTCTTTTAATTTTTTTTTTTCTGAAAGATGCATATACTTAATACAGAGGGTTCTCTTTTTTAACTATTAATAATTATCAGGTAAAGAGACAAGGAAGATCAGACCGAAAGAAGGCATGCATAATGTTTTGTATTTATCTTTTTTAAGTGGCATAACTGTAATCTGTTTGCTTTCTTTGTGGCTTAAAAAAATTCTGAATGAAATATCAAGGCTTTTTACTTTTCCACTTCAGTCACTGTGTTAAAAATGTTTTGAAATAATAAAATCTAGTGTTTGCCCCCCCATGGGTTCAGTCCCCTCCTCACTCCTCCCCTGGGATAGCAAAGGGAGGAAGAAAAGGGTGTTTGCTCAAATAAACCTGGGAAGAGTGGATGGCCTTTTCCTTCATCAGTGCTCAGCTGATCTAATCCTGGTGTGGGATAGCCCCTCTCCAATAAAGGGAGCAGAGCGCTATCTGCTGCAAAGTGACAGCTCCACTTTGTGCAACAGCTTTAATTGTCTGCCTTTTATTGAATAAGGATTAACATTGCAAATTCTCTTTCTTCTCTTCTATAGTCTGCTAAAAGATTGCCACACACTTAGTACGCTGTCACAGAAATAATTTTAACTCACTCTAGAGATCCAAAAAATTATTAGGGGTAGATAAATTCAGGTAAAAGCCCATTCCAACTTCTGCAAGTGATGCCTTCCCTTGGTCAAGACAAATCCCATCAGGTCTGCCAGAAAGGCCATCTTCTTCTTGGGGCTAGGCTCCCTCCTTGGTAAGGTCAAAAAACCACTTCCATATCTCCCACCCAATGAATAAAGGAACTGAACTCCTTTTGCAGCAAAGAAAAGAAAGGAAAATGAATTGGCCCAAAGGACGAACATCAGATCACGTGTTCATTCCCTTTCCCCTCTGCTTCATGAGGTATCCTCTAACACCCAGAGGCAACACGGGGTGGGGGGTGGCCTGGAGTCCTTCAGCTACAGCTTTTGAGGTTCTGATCTGACAGTTTTCTGTGTTACAACATCACTGTAAAAAATAGAAAAATTACCCAAATAAACACTAGGAAACATGACACTTACAAACATCAGATGGGTTAGTGGTGGGGAGAAGCACCTGGCGGGGCTGCTGGCTCCCACTGCTATTTTACTGGAGACCAACAAATCATACAGGAGGCCAGGTAACCCCTTTAATTCTACGGGTGCATATATTTCAGTATAAAAAACACACGCTATTTATGCCTCATATAGGAGTGTATGTGCAAGTTTTCATGAAGAACATAACACTAAGTTTTTTGTCTGCTTCCTAAGGAACATGTGTTCTGCAGCACTGTGGATCCCAACTACGCTACTAAAAAGAAAAAAAAAATAGAAAATCCCATACAAATACCCTCTTCCTCTAAAATCTCTGCTCTTAATGAAATGGTTTTTTAAATTAAATAAGCTGGCTTCAAAACTCCATGTTTGTCCAGGTAGTGGCTGTTTCTAAAACCAGTATCACTAAAGAGCGAGCTTCTATTCAAGTTAATTAATTGGGTTAATAATGGGTTACTTAAACCCATTTTTAAATCCCTACTTCCATCTTTAGTTTTAAAACAACATTCCATTTTGTTTTATTTCTTAAAAAAAAAAAAAAAGGAAAAAAAAAGAAAAGAAAAGTCTGTTTTGGGATCCAGCAACTGAGCAACCAGGTCTCCATAGCGTTCTTGCTGTGCAGAAATCAAAGAAGAAACAGGCTGAAGTCAGACTGCTGGGCAACAGGAAGAGAAGCACCTCCTCTCTCTTGAACCCCAGTCTTCACACTGGCTCCTCTGGGGTCTCCTTGCCACCTCTCACCGACTGTAGCTGCAGCACAGCCCGACTGTGGTACCAACTCCCACATTGCTCTGCGGAGCACAGTTCAGCCATCCGCTGTTCAAGCCGCCTCCTTTCTTGCTCTCCTTCTCTCTTTCTCTCCTTCACTTTTGCTTTCCCCCTCACTTCATTTCTGAAAGATGTTCCGGCTGCTGCCACTTTCTTAGCCCTGGGGGAGGGGGCATGTTGGATAATCTGTCATTTATTTAGCATTATTCCTGTTTTTTTATTCTTTTATACAAACAACATGTCTTTTTTTTTTTTAGATTTAAAAACACCTTCGTACAGCAGAAACAGACACGATGGATCCATGGAAAACAACAGAAAGGCAGTGCCCGGAGCATCAGATGCATGCAGGGTTTCGTGCATTTGGCTGCTGCCTGTTTGTAATTTGTATTTATTTTTTTAATGTCAAAACAGACATGACCGTTGCTGTCACTCAGGCACTCCAGAGCTGCTTGCTAAGAAGATATTGCCCTCCAGCTGAGTATCTCCACAAGTTGCTGCAGTCAGGAAGAGGTAGTGTCCACCCAGAAAGGAGAGGGAGAACAGGATGGAAGATGGAAGGAAATAAAGCCATATATTAGCTGTACACAATTTAAAAAAACACGTTTTCTACAGGTTATTTGGTGTAGGTAGAAACCCCTAACACAAGACAAACTGCGCCTCATGAGGAGACTTCTAAAGGTAAGAGGCACTCACTTCCCCTTCCAGGGGGCTGAGAGTGCCAGTGAAAATTAAGTAATTGCTAAAATGTATTACATGCTGCTTTGGACAGCCCTGAGCCCGCCCTCTCATAGCCATGACCCAGAAGCTGAAGGAGTTTCCTAAGGAGTGCTCAAAAGCTCTGGTCCTAAGGAACATTTTCTGCCTCACTTTCCATTGGCTTTTGCCTTGAACGGAAAGATAATTGTATTTTTGTTAGGGTTTTCATTTTTCAAATCTTCAGTGATTTTGTCTCTGAACTTACTTAATATTTAAACAAATGTACAAGCTTCTCCACAGTTTTGTGAAATTGTAGTCCTTGTGACTGCTTTTAGCAAAGGTCTTTCCTAGTTAATGCTCATGTGCCAAATTACTGGATTTATTTTGATCAGTTTTAAGTCTGGGTTTTTTTCATGTCTGTTTAGCATTATCCTGTCATGAAAGTGTAGCCAAACTCTTTCTTCTACCATTTCTTAGTTTGCAAATCTTAGCAGAATCTCCCTTATAAGTCTTCTCCCCACTTGGTTCCCACTCTCTCCTTACACAGAAATCCTCTAATTAATATCAAACTTTTTTTCTGGCTGCAGTTTCCTTTTCAGATGATCTACCCAGAGCTGAACTCTGCCTTCCAGGTGAGAAGAAACCACTACTTTCTATTTAAGCATTCTTACTCACCTCATTCATTCTTCATCCTTAGCTTTCACTGCACATGGGATAACACTACTCCAAAATTATTCAGTGGATTCAGATGGGGGCTACCCACACTGACCCCATT